AGTTGGGCTCAAGCTGAAAGCAATTTTAACCTGTTTATCAGTGCAATGAGCAAAGAGCTTCATGAACATACTCAGTTCAAAAGCTACATTTTTCAACATCAGTTTCAGTATCGGTGCCATTAATTAAATGCTTCATGGTACAGGGCGTAGTCCTCATCCTGGGATCATCTTTATAAATTTTGCCTGTTGCAGGGACACAGAATATAATATTCCACAGCAGAATGTTCCATAGTTCTGTCTGTAGACTTATTTCTTTAGAATAGATGTAACTGTTCATATAAGGTGTTAGAAAATGGTCTCTCAAGAATACAGAGCTGTGGAATAGAAGTTCTGGGGAACAAATAAATTATTCCATGGTTTTCTGAAGTGACAAAGATACAATTTAAGAATTCAAGTCAGTCCTTCCATTACTGTGTTCCTAATTCCTTAATATACTTAGTGGTCACACTGCATTTTATTCTTATTGCTTATATATTTGGAGGTTTTTTACTTTCTGAAAAAAATATTTGCGTTATTTTGAAAAGGCAGAAAATTAGCATGATTGAGAGTCAAAATATAAGCTTAAGCTGTAAGTGTCTTAAAAACTTGAAAATCCCAGTGAAGTAAAATACCTGTCTTCTATGACTGCCTTCTCATTTTGCTGGTAGAAATGTTGTTTTTTTCTATACACAACACATTTTATTTTGTTTGTCATTTTTCCATACTTTCACTCTCTGTTTTGCCTTATTTCCCTCACCTCCACATATGTTTCTGTGTGTGAAAGAGTTTGGTAGGTAGTCTTATTTTACTGAACAGAAAATTAGTTGTGAAGGCAAAGGTAGTTCCTTCTCTAAAACCAATAAAATACTCTTGTGCCCTCTGTAATTTGATGATCTCTTCACCTCGTTTGTCCCTTTGCTTCATCATTTCTGTTTAATCCAAACTAATTCCAGTACTCTTTTTTAGAGTGAAATAAGTACAATATACATCAGATGAAAAAAGCAATTGAATTGCTTTTTTCCCTCTAAATCATACTTACATTTCTGGCCTCATTTACTTAAAATGCAATTGCTTTCTTTTGCTTACTGTTATAACTGTTTTGTTAGGATTGGGCCCAGTGTGCTTTCCAGAATGGAAATCCAACACTATTTTTTCTGCCAAAGTTTTTCATTTGCAGTATCAGTATGCTTAACCTTTGTAAGCATTATTTGCTTGTGTTGAGCTGTTGATTGGGGAATGGAGATGTAGTGGTGCTCCAATCTTTAGTCTCTAAAAATTGGTATAGAAGTCTGATTTGGTTAACCAGTTATGGTGAGTTTAGAGGTGTTTACATATTCCCTAATGTATGTTTAATCACAAAGGAAAACTGTAGCTCAGCACTAGTTAAAGTTACTGGTCTGCAGACTTGTGTTCATCTGGAGTAGCAGAGACATGCTCTAATTGAAGCACATTAGCACAAGTGTATAGGCAAAGCAGCACAGAGCCTTTCTGCCATTATGCTTAGCATATTCACTAGTCATGAGCATAAGCATTAACTCAAATTCTCTTAAGTTATTGCTGTCTGCAGTTGTGAGTGACAGAGAACTGTGGCTATTATCACTAGCTATTATGGAGGTCTGTAAGATTGGATGATAGAAGTGACCTACCAAGTAACAGACTCTCTCACTGAGAAAAGTTTTGCTGGTTATTTTGTGCCTTTCCCCTTGGTCATAAAAGACAGCCAGGTAGTGAAAGCTTGGACTTTCTCACAAGCCTGCAGATCATTGAAAGCAGTGAGCTTAACTGTCACAAACTAATTGTTTATGAAGGTCCAACCAGGTATTTCTTTCCAGTTGTGTTGTAGGAAGTTGGGAGATACTTTTATAACAGAGGGTATAGCATTAATGAAAAGGTGTCATGAGAAAAGATTCCTGTTAGATTATGTGGATGACACCCAATCCCTACTGAAACAAATCAGAATACACCTATGAACTTCCATATAACTGAGATTGCACCTTTTGCTATAACCTGGCCCTTAAAGGGATAGCATTTGGAGCAGGAAGAAAGTAGAGAAGAAAGTAAAAGCTTTCTAAATTAGTACATCGACAAGTCACAGAAAAGTTCTGAATGGGAACACCCCTCAGCTTGTGTCTGTGGTTTGTAGCTAAACACATAGGAAAATAGTTTATTTTCTGTGAATTCAGGCACAAAGAATGAAACAAAGGAAAGAGGATGACTATCAAGTTATGGCACATAGTTGCTTGGATTTGGTATTCAAATGTCGGTTCTATGTTTTTTCCTAGTACATCAAATGTTTTTTCTTTTGTGCTGTTTTCTCATCATTGCTATTTTACCTTACTACAGACTTTTTTTTTTTTTTTAATTAGCTTAGAAGGGACCTCAAAAGATCATCTAGTCCAATCCCCCTGCCGGAGCAGGAACCTAAACGAAATTACACAGGAAGGCGTCCAGGTGGGTCTTGAATGTCTCCAGAGAAGGAGACTCCACAACCTCCCTGGGCAGCCTGTTCCAGTGCTCTGTCACCCTCACCATAAAGAATTTTTTTCTCACGTTTAAGCGGAACCTCCTGTGTTCCAGCTTACACCCATTGCTCCTTGTCCTATCGTTGGGCATCACTGAGAAGAGCCTGGCTCCATCCTCCTGACATTCACCCTTAACATATTTATAAACATGAATGAGGTCACCCCTCAGTCTCCTCTTCTCCAAGCTAAAGAGACCCAGCAAGCAATATTGTGCTGCTGTATTTTCATACTTAGCAGATGCTTTTCCTGTTGAGGTAATTTTCAAAAAGATAATTAAAGCTGCCTTGGAAGTAGATCACACTAGAGCAGTGGTGCAAAGCAGAATAGTCTCCTACACCAGGGAAGCTGAACCATTTTATTTTAAGACAGGTGAAAGTGAGCTTTACTATACTCTTAATTATTTTGCTGTGGTCAGTAAAGCCTATACTCACAGTGGTTAAAATTATCTTCAGTGGTGGCTACACTGAATAGCAGCCTGTTGGCTGTACTCTCATTTAGCTCTGGCAATGCAAGGTATGTAACGTGACTGCAATCACCATTGATATCATTGGTCTTTTCTTTCCCTGTCTAAGGAAGATTGCCAGGCAGAGTCCAGACTCTGAAGTGGTCCTTGAAATCTGCTTTATAAACAAGAATTTAAGGAGTAAAGGGAAAAAAAAAAAAGCCCAAATGAAAAACAACATTAATGTAGTGAATTAAGTTTGCTAAAAAGCAAATGACAATTTTGGAGAGTGTTTCAGCTCTTCATAAAGTGCGTTATTTTATTGAAATGGATTTTGTGTATACTATTACAAAATACATTGAAAACTGTAAAGTAGATCTTATGCAAAACACTCATCAATGTTTCTGAGCTGGCTGTCACAATCTCAGTGGTTTTGTTCACACTTTAGTTCTTTCACAGCCTCCTGCCCAAGGCATATCTCAGTGAGGAAAGGACAAATAATGCATTTTTAATTAATTCATTCACATAAATTGAGAGGTCAGTTGAAGTGGTGTTCATATCATTGATGTGATTAATCCCACTGAAGACGTGAAAGCACTAGCAAAGGCTTTATTCTTTCTGAGTTTGAGGAAGTTATTTTAACTAACAACTTCCAGAGAAAGCACATGCTGGGTCCAAGAACATAGAAGTGACTCTTTAAGTAGATCCCTTTCTAGCCTGTGGTCTTACTGGTGCCAGGTGCCAACGCAAAGGCTTAGAAGAAAAGTTAGAAACAGAGGAAATGTCAAGCATTTACTCTGTGATATGTGATATTTATTCTGTAATCATGCTGATAGTAGTACAGTCCATTTTTATAAATGTAAAGGTGTCTTGCTAGATACAGGTGAAAGTCTGGTGGTTTTCACTGTAGGTTAGGTGATATTTTGATCTGTCAGAAACAGGCTACAACTGGCAAAGGATATAGTGATTCACGTTTGTGTGGTTTCAACAATGCTATGTAATTACCTGCTTACCTCCTTCACTTGCAGCCACTCATTCCCACAGTTTGACCAGTACAACTGTATGCGTGGCTGCTGTTTATCTGAACCAGCAGAATGACCAGGTTTAAGTTTCTAAATACCCATTTTTATTTCTTTAGAGTAGTAACAAACTTTACATTGAATCAGGCTTGGGAGAAGTGTTTCACCAGTAATAAGCTGTCGCTATTTTAATGAAGTTTTATTTTTAAAGATGGGGAATGTAAAACAGTATTGGTGGTGGATTTTTTTAAGGTACCAATGTGAGCTATGTGCTGGAATCCAGTTCAGTTCCTATGTTCCTTCTGCACCTACCCACCATTTGCCCCTTTGAAAACTCTCTGCAGCTTCTAACCCCACAACCAGACCTGTTTCTGCTGGCTCAGGAAAACTCTTCCATAGCTTCAATTGGATCTGTGTACTGTTGAGTACAAAACAAAACTTTTTAAAATGATTAGTGTAAGATTTTGCTTTTTTGGAGACTGCCATTAGCAAACAGAAAGCTTTACACACTCACAAGTAAGGTAATTAAAGCTTCACTTTGTTTCTTCCTGAAAGTTACATTCTTAACATCTTATGTTTATTATTTCCATTTCCTTTCTATTTAGACAAGCAATCTGTGAAGTAATCACTAGGCCAATCAAATATTCAGTGGAGGGCTGACTTGATGAGGTGAATTGGATGCTGCAAGAGGTCAAAATTTATAGCAAGAAACGGTTCCCTTATCTGGCTGAGGAGGTTAACAACAGTTTGCTATCATTTGCAGGCCTTGTGACTTCTTGTTAGGGATAAAGCCTCAACTAAGAAGCTTAGTTGGACAGCTGTTCTTCAACACTGTGTTAAATAAAATCTTACTTCTCTTCTAGGTGGAATAAACATGTGCCAAAACATTGTCATCATTTATGTTCTCAGTTTAGAAAGAAGGAAGATTTTCCTTTTTTAATAGCATAAAATGAATGCATAATTGATAAAGTAAGTTTACAGGATTATTCACATGAAGTTGTATGAGAGTTTCATAATGTACTTTTTCTTTCTTTTCAGCTATTGGCTAACAAACAAGGTCCACATTAAACGACCCAGCACTGGTCTCCTCATGTATACGCTTGCCACCAGATTTTGTGACGAAATTCATCTGTATGGATTCTGGCCATTCCCAAAGGATTTACATGGCAAACCAGTCAAGTATCATTATTATGATGATCTGAAGTATAGGTACTTTTCTAATGCCAGTCCTCATAGGATGCCATTAGAGTTTAAAACATTGTATGTATTACATAACAGGGGAGCTCTTAAATTAACGACAGGGAAATGCATAAAAGCATAAAGCAATAAAGTACATGTACAATAAGAACTACAGAATACACACTTCATCATAAAGATGTTCTGGAATGGCAGTGGGATCCCAGTGAGGATATGTTTCGATACCCACTAAGCCATCGGAAAAAGGAATTTTATCAGAAGTACATAACCAGCTATTATACCTATAAAGTGCTATATCACTAAGCTATCTTGACTGCAAGGGTTCAAGTAAGTGCCAGTTTAACTAAGAACAAAGCTTGAATGTATACTCAATGGTGTTTACAGGATCTAGTGACAGATTCATCATGAATTAAAGAAGAATACAGCCTCCTTACTGACTTGCCACTGTGGTCAAACAGCCCAGAGAAGAAATCCCCAGTGGGTGGAATATTTTCTTGAGCAAGTAAACCAGGCTTTGGCAGAAACTATCATGATGGAATTGAGTAGAGAAAGTGAAGTCCCCGAGATCAAACAAATCAGTAAATGCCTTCAGTCAGAGGACTGTTTCTGATCTTGTATTATAACCTCAGCTTTTGTTGCTTTTTTTCTTATTGCTGTTCGTTGGGTTTTGCTGCTTTTGAGTATTGGAACCCTTAAAGGATTTTGAGGATGTTATGAATAATTAAAAGTATATATCATATGGAATTGTCTTAGGAAAAAAAATTGTAACAGTGGGAGGGTAGAGGGAAACATCAAATATTTTATCAATTGTTATTGTGTTGTATCCTGCTGTCACACAACCCTTAACATCCCAATTGATTTTCTAGCTACCACTGTCAATACGTTCAGATTTGAAGACATAGGAGAAGGTGCCCTTATTTTTGGTACCAAAGATTACTCTGATACATATTTTTTTTCCTTTCCTTGAAGAAATGTTGTAGATTTAGTATGATGTTTCTTTGTTGTTGAAGGGAACGTATTCTTTATGTTTAAATTTTTGAATTAAGCATCTAAAGCAAAGCCTCTTTACTGACTTTGTATATAGAATTTCATTCTTCAGAAAAATCTGCAGGACTAAAGAAATTATTTCATACATTCAAATATATATATATATTTAAATATATATA